TTCATTTATATCGTTTAGACTAAAACTCGCTCTAACGTAAATTCACTATTTACGCTTCCCGGTGGTGTGCCGGTTCCGTCGCGAAACTTCGACGGGTCATAACTTCTTCGTTATAACTCAGATTTCGGCGTTCTTTATATGTATGGAAATCTCGTGACATATACTACAACTTGGTTCAGATTAGTTATTCTAAATAATCTTTTGTCGAAAAGTCATTTTCGACACTTATTGTCTCTAAATTGACTAGCCCGGATCTACGGGCGTTACAGATAACGAGGGTCTCATCAAACATTCACTTCTTTAGGTTTGATACATGAAATGTAGGGTGTACGTTGTTGAGTTCCTGTGGTAATCGAAGTTTGTAAGCCACCGGGCCGATCCTAGCAAGGATCTCGAATTGTCCGATGTACCTAGGGTTTAGCTTTCCACGCTTTCTGAAACATATTAAACCCTTCCAGTGTGAGATTTTTAGTAGGACACGGTCTCCAACTTGGAATTCTAGGGGTTTTCATCTTTTATCCGCATAACTCTTTTGTTTATCTCTTGAAGCCTTCAGTCGCTTCCAAATCTGAACAATCTTCTCTGTAGTTTCTCTTATGATTTCTGGCCCAGTGAGGGTGTTGTTTGTTGCTTGTCCTCTTGCTAGTTGTGTGTCACCCACTTCAGCCCAACACAAAGGTGTTCTGCACTTACGACCGTAGAGGGCTTCGAATGGGGCAACCTTGATGCTAGTGTGGTAGCTATTGTTGTATGAAAACTCGACCAATGGTAGATGGGTGTCCCATGCCTTGCCAAAATCAATTACGCAAGCTCTCAACATATCTTCTAAGGTTTGTATCGTTCTCCCACTCTGGCCGTCGGTCTGTAGGTGATAAGCGGTACTCATGTCCAACCTAGTTCCTAGAGATCTTTGTAGCGATTTCTAGAACCTCGAGGTGAATCTACTATCTCGGTCCGAGATAACGGATATTAGCACACCATGCAGTCGTACAATCTCCCTGGTGTATGTTCTAGTTAGCTTCTCCAGTTTATTCTTTTCTTTGATTGGTAGGAAGTGCGCAGATTTAGTTAACCTGTCGACGATCACCCAGATGGTGTCGAGTCTGCTTGGCGTCTTGCGTAACTTGGGTTTGAAGTCCATAGTAATCCGCTCCCACTTCCATTCGGGTATTTCAGGTTGTTGCAACAGTTCCGAAGGCTTTTGGTATTCCACCTTGACCTTGGCGCAAGTCAGACATTTGCCTACGTAGGTAGCAATTTCAGCTTTCATGTTCGGCCACCAATACAGTTTCTTGAGGTCCAAATAAATCTTATCTGAACTGGGATGTATGGAGTATCGTGTCTTATGGGATTCGTCCATGACAACATCTCTGAATCCACCAAACTTCAGCATCCAGATCCAATTCATGAAGTAACGAACTCCGTCATCCTTCATTTCAAGATTCTTATCCATTCCTATTAAGGCTTCACTTGCCACGTTTTCAGATTTCAAGGCTTCTATTTGAGATTCCTTGACTTGTGTGGACAGGTGTGAATGGATAATCATGGTTAAGGATTTCACTCGGCGGCCCGAGTATTCCTTCCGGCTGAGGGCATTGGCTACTACATTAGCTTTTTCGGGATGATAACAAATTTCGCATTCATAATCGTTTAGTAGTTCTACCCACCCTCTTTGTCGCATGTTGAGTTCTTTATGGTTGACGATATGCTGGAGGCTTTTGTGATCAGTGAAGATTGTACATTTCGTGTCGTAGAGATAGTGTCTCCAGATCTTTAGAGCGAAAACGACTGCTCCTAGTTCGAGGTCGTGTGTCGTGTAGTTTACTTCATGCGTCTTCAGTTGTCTTGAGGCATAGGCGATGACTTTCCCTCGCTGCATTAGAACACATCCAAGTCCTTGGTTTGACGCATCATAGTAGACCACAAAGTATTCTGTTCCTTCTGGTAAAGTTAAAATAGGCGCACTTCATAGGGCTCGCTTTAGTGTTTGAAATGCGATGTCTTGTTTTTCTCCCCAGTCGAAGGTTACACTCTTCTGATTCAGAGTGGTAAGCGGCTTAGCAATTTTTGAGAAGTTTTGTATGAGCCTTGGGTAATACCCGGCGAGGCCCAAGAATTGCCAGATTTCCGTTGGAGTCCTTGGAGTTGTCCAGTTCTCAATTGCCATGATTTTAGATGGGTCCACGTGTATTCCCTCTTTGCTGACCACGTGACCTAGGAAATTTACTTCCCGAATCCAAAATTCGCATTTGAGAATTTTGCGTATAGATTCTCTATCCTTAATGTATCCAAAACTTGGTGGAGGTGTTGGCTATGTTCTTCCTTGCTTCTTGAATAGATGAGTATATCATCTATGAACACAATAACAAATTTCTCCAGGAAGGGACGACATACTCGTTTCATCAAGTCCATGAACACTACTGGTGCATTTGTGAATCCAAAGGGAATCACTACAAACTCGTAGTGACCATAGCGAGTTCGGAATGCCATTTTGGGAATGTCTCCTTCCAGAACATGCAGCTGGTGATATCCAGATCTTAGATCAATCTTTGAGAAGTAGCTTGCTCCTTGTAGTTGGTCGAATAGATCGTCTATGCGCGGTAGGGGATATCGCTTCTTGATCGTCAGTTTGTTCAGTTCCTGGTAATCGATGCACATGCAAAAAGATCCGTCCTTCTTCTTTACGAAAATGATCGGTGCTCCCAATGGTGAAAAGCTCGGTCTGACGAAGCCTTTGCTCAGCAGCTCATTTAGTTGACTGGACAGTTCCTGCATCTCGGATGGGCTAGACGGTATGACCATTTTGCTATTGGGGTAGCTTTGGGTATCAAGTCGATCCTGAAATCGACTTGGCGCTTTGGTGGGACTCCTGGAAACTCTTCTAGGAAGATGTCTGGTAAATTGTAGACTTCTGGAATGTCTTTAATGTCTTTCAATTCTCGTTTCTTGTCTACCACGTGGGCTAGAAAGGAATGATATTCCTTGCGAAGATATTTTTGGGCTTTGATGTAGGAGATGATTTGTAATTTTGTATTGGGTTTGTCACCATAAATGACAAGAGTTTTGTCGCTTGGCAGATTCAGGCGAACGGCCTTTTTGTGACAAAGTATATCGGCATGGTGAAGGCTTAACCAGTCCATACCGATGATGACATCAAAACTTCTTATAGTAATTGGCATAAGATCGATTTGAAACAAGTGCTCATTTAAATTTAATGTACAACCTATGTACATATGGTTTGCGCTTTCGGTTTTACCGTTTGCCATTTCTACAATGAATATTTTATTGAGTGCTTAGGGTTTTTGATTAAGTAAGTGTTTGAATTTATGACTCACGAAACTCCTCTCCGCACAATAGTGAAAGAGTATGCATTCATAAATGCCGTTGAGGAGAAATGTACTCGTAACCACCGTGGGATCAGCTATTGCTTCGTTCTGCCCTATTGCCAACACTCTTCCTACACTGCCAGTATTCTTTGCCTTAGGACAATCCCTCTTGAAGTGCCCAGTTTCCCCACCCATAACATGTCTGGCTTACTCCAGTACCAGGAACTTGGGTGATTGGTCGCACCGGTGCCTTACAGAAACGAGTAGTGTGCCCTTTCCTATCGCAGTTTTTACAGTGCAAATCCTGGAAATTATCGTGGTGATGGTAATTGCATTTGTTTCACTTTGGCAGGTTCCCAGCATATTGCTTCGTTGGCGCAGTGGTAGCAGGAATAGCTGTGAGGGCAGTAGTGGCATGGACCGCGACTATTTGTTTCTTTGAAGGTTCGTGCGAAGTTTGACCATTTCTCTTTTTCCAAAATTTCTTCTTCTTGTTGTTGTTGGCATTGTTGTCATTGTTGTTGCTTCCTTTGGTTGGTTCTGGGACAACGGTTGTGACACTTTGGCAGACCCCATGGTCAACGATAGATTGCATCGGTTCCTTGGCGCTATCGAACGTTGTGGGTTTGGAGGTTAGCACACTTCCTCGAAGCTGGGCTGATAGCCACCAGATATACCTTTCCACCTTTTGGCTTTCCAGAATCATCATTCCCGGGCAATGTATTATCAAGTCACTGAATCTATTTGTATAGCTTGTGATGTCCGAGCCCACCAACGTAAGGCCCAAAGCTCCTGCTCGAGCTTCTAAATCTCGCCTCTTGGGCAGTACTCTCGTAGTAGCATTCGTTTCAGGTTCTACCAACCCATGGAGCTTCCCACCACCAGAGTTAGTGACTTGATGTGGCCATTCCACCACTTTAGGGCTCGTTCGGAGAAAGTGCAGGCGGCAAATTTTACTTTGCTTTCTTCGCGGCATGAGCATATCTCGAACACAGCTTCCGTTTTCTCTCTCCATTAGGATAGAGCCATCACTCCCCCAGTTCCATTAAAGGGGATGGGTTTGCTGTTGGAGAAGTCTTTGTAAGTACATTCCCCGGTACAACCTTGGGTTTGGCCATTTGTAAAGTTGTTTATCCATCCTCTTGACTCGTTCTTACTCATTTGTGCCATTGTTGCGGTTACGGCGGCTGTTATAGCAGCCTGAAAGGTAGCAACATTCATACTTGGAGGGGGTGGTCGAGGTGGTGCTGGCACTTCGTTTGTATTGAAACGTCGGGGATTCCTTCTTGGTGGCATGATTCTGCCACAAGTTAAGAGACGAATGCTTGATAAGTCAGTTGAAATGATTAAGGGAGGTTCATACATTTTAGTTCTAAGCATTTCTGGTTTTTGTATGTTAACAGACATTTTCAAAAGAAAACAAGCGTATGAATAATGGGATACTCAAGGAATTAATAAATGCGTGTCAATTTCATTGATATTAGTATATGATACAACGATCAAGAAAATTTGACCTTTAATAGGTCTATGTTACATCCATGAAAATGGGAAAATTTGACAGCATTCCGGCCTCCGAATTGTGTACTCACATTTCGTCAAGTTTACATTTATACAAGAAAAGGTAACACCAACATTTAGTCAATAGATATAAATATAGCGTCAGAAGTATGCGTTCTATTCCGAGCGGGTAGGATGCTGTGGACCATGGTACGTAGTTATGGAAGTCTTAGCTCGGGCTACTTGACGTTCAGCCTCGATGATACGCCTTTCCATTGTGGCTTGTTGCTCACGGAACTCCCTTACTTTGGCTCTAGTAGCAGTAATGTCTTTCTGAACTGAAAAGGCTTGTTGCTCACAGAACTCCCTTACTTCAGCTCTAGTAGCAGTAATGCCTTTCTGAAGTGAAAAGTTGTGCTCTATTTTCTTTGTCTGGGTCTTCCTCGGGATCCTCTTCGGATTCCTCTTTTGTTTCTTCCTCGGGAATTTCCTCTTCGGAATCCTCTTCTGGGTCGTCCACAATCCAGTCTCCATTTCCGTGGTTGGGATAGTAGGGGTCCCCGGGAATGTGAAATCCTACCATTTTGTCTGGTCGAGAAGTAGAGGTAAGAAAACTTGGGAGAAAAGTAATTTTTGATAAGAAAATATTTATTTGATGATTTCCTAATTTCAACTAAGTATTGAGGTTTGCACGATTTTTGTAGCTCTTATGGTTCTATAAAATACTCCTATAGTATTCCAAATTTGTAAGTTTGATTCTAATAATTTCTTGGTAAATTTTTGACTTGTTACTTACTACAACCATTGCTCGACATACGTTGGTCAACTCCACGATAAATATAGTTGATCAGACTATATTTATTCTCGATCTGATTACATATCCCGAGGCTTAGTCGTAGTGTCGCAACTTGCCTTAATACTTTTTATAAAATTTTGCTATGATACGAGACCGATGCATGCGTGTACTTATACTTTTAAAAAAATAATATATATATATATATATATATATATATATATATATATATATATATATATATATATATATATATCACTTTAATATATTAAAAGTATCGTCTATGAAAACGTTTTGTCAGAGGGTTTTTGGTCCCTTTGCATTTATAGTTTGTATATCTTATGTGGTTCGATATACTTAGTTCTCTATAAATAATGCTCAGATAAAAATCTGTCACACCCCCAAACCAGAATGACGGAATCATTCGGAGGTGGGTGAGTTCACGTAGTATCATAACAGTTGAATATTGTAAAGAAAGTAAACACAACCGTCATATATATAACAAAAACTTATATTGTTGCGTAATACATGTTTCAAAAGAATATTACAAATATGATGATTTAAAATGTTTTGATAATAGACGCCTTAGCATTCCTTCTCCAAAAGCTGATGGTTACCTGTATTACTGATTCCCTGATAAATACAAGTAGTTTCAAAAAGTGTCAACAATAAAGTGGCGAGATTCTCGGGAATCTTAAAGCTTCAGACCTTCATCGGGGCTGGGGTATGAAACTGGGCTGTAGGGGTCGTCTTAGGATGCTAAACGGGGAGTAATTGTCAGTGAATAGAGAGAAATGATCACAAATGCCCGGAACCCTCGCATCCTTTTTATAGTGGCCGGAGGCCCTCGGTACACTAGGCATACGAGGCTACGCGGGGTGTACTCGTGCGTCATGCATGAGCGCATCTTCGACAGCCGGACATCGGACAGGACGGTATAGAGGAGTAGGGGCGACGTGGACGGTTCAGAGCCTAGCATCCGAGTACGCTGGGCGTACGGGGTACGTTGGGCGTAAATCGTCTCGTTTTGTGCAACTCGGACTTGTAAAATCCGTAACATTCGCCTACAAGCTCCGATTTTGACGTTATTTATATCCATGTGAAGGTGAGAAAATACTCTACAACTTTCATTTAGACTTCGTCGGCAAATTTTGAACTTATTTTTAATTATATTTTATTTAATAGGCCGGGACACGATAATTTCGTTAAAAATCCATAACTTCTTTATACGACGTCCGTTTTCGTTTGTCTTTTTACCATTGTACTACTATTGTAGAGACCGTCAACTCTCGTTTAGGTTGCGTCGACTAAAAATCACTCGATCTTTTTCTTGAGTTTTTAGTTGTCTACCACTGTTACGAAACTTAGAAAATTCGTAACTTCTTCATACGATGTCCAATTTGGGCGTTCTTTTTATGCACGTTCACGGTTTAACATAATCTACGACTTACGTTTAGATACCTAAGGCTAAAAAGCATTTTATTGAAACTTCACTTTTTTACGTTTAGCAATGTTTTACCAGGCGTGTCGTGGATTTTCGATTGGTCATAACATCTTCGTTATAACTCGGATTTGAGTGTTCTTTATATTTTTGAAAACCTTGGCACGATATCTAACATTTTATGCATCTCAATTTAGATATTAGAATAGTTTATTTTTGAAGCTAATTTCGTTGATTCCAAATAGTTCGTTGCATTTGACTTTTTGAATGTTACATTGATTTGAAAAATATTGGGTTGTCACAGTGAGTCCGATGAAGATCGCCATAAAACTCGACGATTTGAAGAATAACTCGGCGAGTCGGATGAGTTTTCTCTTTGGATATGTATGATCGTGTATTCGTCGAGTTACAAGGAGGGAAATCGACGGTTGGCCTTAAAGTTCGAACGAGAATCAAAGGAACTCGACGAGTCACCCCGATGACTCGGCGAGTTGGATTGTACTTCAAGGAACTCAGCGAGTAGCCAATGTTACTCGGCGAGTTGGGGTCAACATAGACTGTTGACCTTGACTGAGGGCTTTGACTTTGACCAGGGGTTGACTACTGGGTTATGGGGTACCTTATAAGGTTAAGGACTTATGAGCATATTGTGCTATGATCTTAGGTGGTGCAGTCGGTGTTGGGTGATCCGAGAGTTGGAGTGTATCTTCTAATTCGACATTTGCAAGGTGAGTTA